GAGTTACATTATTATGATTTAATTATTTTCAATGGCAAATTCAAGAGGAAAAAACGCCTCAAGTGAAATATTTTTCGTAATTAGTGCAATTATCGTAGAGTGATAATTGCACCCTGTGCAATTTCCGCTGTAATTTTTTGACAATTGCATATGTACTTCAAATTGACAAATGTGTCCAATACATGTTCCTCTATGTCTGCAACCCGAACTCTCTTGGTCGTCTACTATTTGCCTCAATTCCTTGAGCCAGTCGTCCAGTGTCTCTAGCTCTTTGTTGGCGTAAGTTCTTACAGCTTCTGCTATGTTATTAATAACATATCCGCATATTCGATCTTGGTGTACATTTTGTGAAAGAAGCCTCAACCTCAAACCAAGTCACAATTTGGCAATGTTTGTTACTCTTGACAAAAGCTGTCTTCTTGTATCTACCTGATAATGAAAAAAAAGCCGTTGCCGCTTTGAATTTCCTTCAAAAAATTGTAGAAGAGTACTTTTTAACATAAAAAATAATTCAAATAGTTTGAAGTAAATATAGTAATTGTTCCTTTCCARTGCTTATTCTTCTTTTGGTGAATATGAATGTTCTTATTCTATAATTCTTGCCTTCTCGATTATGCATCTAATTTCTGCGGATTGACCCCAGTCTGCATTTATCATTGATCCGAAGTAAGTGTACCTTTCGACTCGTTCTAGAGTTTCTTGATTTAAAGTCTTAACCATAGGAGGCTGGATGATTTTGCTGATGGTCATATGCTTTGTCTTAGAGGTGTCAAGTCCATATTCCTCGCTCGTTATATTACTTTTCTCAAGAAGAGTTTTAAGATTCGCTAGGCTACTTGCGAGGACAACAGTATCATCTGCGCATCTGATGTTATTTATGTTGTTGTCGTTCGTTTTAAACCCTTCAAGAGAGTCTTCCAGTGCCTCTCGAAATATATTTTCAGAGTAGATGTTAAATATGGTCGGCGATAGGATGCACCTCTGACGTACGCCTCTTTGGCTCGTTACATCTTCTGTTTTGTTGCCTGCTATGTTCACGTGTGCTGATTGGTTCCAATATAGATTCGTTATAATTCGTATATCTTTGTTGTCAAGGCCTACTTCCTTCATTGTTTCTACCAACCTTGTGTGTTTTAGTTTGTCAAAAGCCTTTGAAAAAATATTTAAAACATGCGTGCTCATCATGGTTCATGTCCTTACAGCGTTGCACTAGAACTTTAATGAAAAGATTGCCTCTCTAGTACTCCGGGCATTTCTAAAGCTAAATTAAGATTCGCTCGTCACATTTTCCGTAGGCATTTTCTGCTGTAATCTTCTGTGAAATGGTCTTGATGAACACCTTGACGATGTGGTTAATGAGATTAATGAGTCTGTATTGGTTGCAGGCATTGGCTCTAGGCTTTTTAGGGAAGGTAATAAAAGAAGATACTAACCAGTCAGAAGGTATTTTTCCTGTATCATAGGTGATATTAGAGTTTCCTTACAGAGATTTGAGAAAATCCGTTTGATCTATTCATCTAACAGGTGACCTGCCTCTTGGCCGTTTATCTTCCACCTTTGCCTATACTACCTATACATTTTTCTAAGTTGTTTCCCTCTCGCCTTGTAGTGTGTCTAAAGTATTTTACCATTCGCCGGCAAGATATTGTGGATAATCTGTCTTTGATCTTCAGTTCCTTTAATATAGATGCATTGGTGGTTTATTTATTATTCACATGTCGGATGTTTTACCATTCAGGATTCCGCTTCGTACAGGAAGATTGAGAATACGAGAGAGTAGGTGAAGTTGAAATTCGATGTTCAA